CCAGCCTTCCCTTCCTTAGCTGATGTCCATACCAGCGCCGTTGATTTCGCTGAAGCTCATTCCAGCACACTGAAGATTTTGGTTTCTCATTCAGGATTTTTTATTTGGTTATTATGTTTTCTTGATTTTTCTTGTTCAAGATAGAAGTTCTCTTTGTTCACTCTCCATCTTGAGGGGGAGTATTAGATATTATTAGATATCAGGTATAAGGGTAGTTTAGTATTTCAGTGATATTCTAGATCTTTCTCTTTTCTTTTATGCTCTTCTCTATAAGAGCTCACATATTGTACAAATTAATTACCACAATCAATGAAATCAATATTTTCCATTTACTCTCTTTTACCTTCTAATACTTTCTTTCCCCAAGCGCTGAAGATGAAGCAATAGGCTGAAGATTTATGCTATTAAACAGAACCATAATATAACCTTACAGTCTGCCCCTTCCTTTCCAAAAATCGTGAGTGTGTGAAGAGAGGGCATCCAGAACGTTGCACATCATCACCTCCTCCCTGGTCACGAACCGTGGACCTCCGTGAAGAATAACCAAAGCTCTAAATACATTCTTCCCCCACTCCTTGTCCGTCCGTGCACTAGAACCAAGCGGTGGGTGAAGTTTTCCCTACCTTGCATGCACTTTCCTTCCCCTCCTCTAATCCGTGAAGCCACACGGTGAGACAACCAAACTCAGAATCATGTTCTCGTCCGCTTTGCTTGTTCGACCGTGACATTCTTCAAAGAGGTGAAGTGATGTTTTGCTGTTTCGTATTCCCTTTCATAGATTGGTTTTGATTGAAATTTTTGTTTGCATGCAATGGACCAAGCGGTGCTTGTAGTTTTCTCTACCTTGCATGCAGTGGAAACCGGTCTTTTGGAGCCTAGAAAAATGATGGGGCTACTTTCTGCCCAGCTGTCGTCTTTGTACGCTCAAGAAATGGTGAGTTGGGTTCCCAAGTTCTTGCCTTCTCTACACTGTTTCGGTTAGCTTGTAGGACCTAGGCAGTAAATCTATGTTGTATCAATTCTGCATCTATTCTGCTCAAGCCGTGAACCTTTGAGGACTACATTTTGTGAGCCTTTAGCACACCCAAACATCTTAAGAGATGATACGTTGAATTAAATATAAGCTTTAACGAAAAGGTTATGCAACTAAATTTATTTTTGTACTTGTAATTTCTGGTCAAAATCTGAATCGGTTAAAATGTATTGGAAAACCTTGGAATTTACTATTATTAACAAGATGTTAAGATGCTATGAAGTCAGAAAATTGGTTAGTAAAAGAGTGATGAAACCCGATTAAAGAATGAGGGTTAGAAGCATAGAAAACTTGTTGATATATAAATTATAATAATAATAGGAAATAAATTCTGAACTTGTCACACTTGTAAATCGAGGCACAAAATTCTTAGAGAAGTGGAATTTGAATAAAAGTCATGAACCTAATGCCAAACTAAATTGAACCAGATGCATGATGGGGAGCGGCCTTATATATATTTTTTTTAGCCATTAGTATTTCTACCTTATTGAGTACCTTGGGTCATAGTTAAAAGAGTAAAAGAAATAAACTTCGAAATGATCTTCTATAAAATGTGGGGCTGTTCTGTTGTGGGTTAGTGCACCTATTATCCTATAAATTAAATGTTAAAGACAATTGGATCATGTGATTGAGCACGCATCATATAGGCATCCCTTGATATCAAGGTACTGGGACAGTTGGCGTCAGTCCGCATAGGCCATAGTGGAATTCCCCAAATGATGGTGTCGTGTATGGAATTTCCACTGTGTATGCACGCGCACGACGGTGCTATGAGTGTGATGAAGGCGTTATATACACAATATGATATATGATGAAAAGGATATATGATGAAAAGGTTATATGATGAAAAAGATTTAATGTTTGAAGCGACTGTTTATAATTTTGTGCCTAGTTTAATAATGTTGCATTATTGGTTTTGTTGCCACACTACTGGGATTTTTCTCACCCCTTTGGGGCTGCTATTTTTATAAAATGGTAGGAGGACGTAAAAGCTTTCGAGGACTTGGATATTTGCTATTGGTTTCTACTGTTGGGCATGCTGCTGTGATTGTATTAATTTCATGGATGACTATACCAATTGTGGATGTTTAAATTATTAGTGAACTATGTTTGCATTCTGTTTTAAGACTTTTAAGAACAGCAAGTGTTTTGAAATGGATTTCAGAACCGTTTTTACGAAAACTGATTCATGACGTTTTGAAAGCTAAGTTAAAACTGTTTGTGCGAGCATTTTGTAGGTTGGCATCTCGGGGCTACGAACCTCTGATTTTCTTATAATTTATATGCACGCGTAGCCCCAGGTGTCTAGTTTCATTATATATAAACCTTTCAGCGAAATTCTGAAAGCTCGATTTATTATGATTTTTGCAAGTCAGGCCGTTTGATATAAATTCACTGATGTCTAGTTTTATATGAACGCGAAGCCCCGGATGTCTAGTTTCTAGATTACAAATAATATTTTTTTGAATCGTTGAAGTGAATTTTATACGAATTTTTAAAGACAACAAGGTCTGTCAGGAAAGTTATATTTTCAGTAGTTGAGAAATTTTGAAAGTATACTTTGATTTTTGTGACGAACCCGATTTCAATTATAAGTTTTTAATTGGCATTGTAAAAGTGACTTTCAGTCTCTAAAATATGATTAAAGAACTCTAATCCGCTTAGCAAACAACTCTCTTGGATCCATACAAGGGAGGGTGTTACAGGGTTTCCATTGAAACTATTTTGTATACTGCTTTTTCTTTCCATTTAGCTTGGGATTTACTCTTTTACCTTTTGTGCCTATGGTTAGTCTGAGTTTTAGGTGCAAGATTCATCCTCCTCTTTGCTCCGCCATCACTGTCTGGATTTGATTGCCGAGGCTCCGCCATGGGGGTCGAAGATGGGCCAGTTCTCATTGTAACACCTCGTCTGCAGCCGGTGTATTAACATACAAATGATATTTAAAGCGCAACTTACAATAATTAAACGCGGAAGCAATATACTATTTTTTTCAAATAAACAAGTCCAATCCTCATGGTGGATTAACTTTTCCTTTTATTAACAATCCTTATGTAATTGCAACACTAAAATAAAACTTGAATTACCTCGTACTCATAAATAACAATTCAAAAGCATCCATAAATTTTGGTGCTACAATACAAATATTCAAGTCACAAATAAACATATTATTTAATAGTGGCATAGACAACCTCTATGCTCACCACAAATAACAACATAATCCATCAAGTCTAGTCATAATAAAGTCTCATCATGGAAGAATGAATAATCATTATATGCATGACTCATAACAATAATGAAATCTCTATGCTGGCCTCTTGCCTCTATTAGTGTCTGATATGCCTCCAACATATATATGATTTTAAGCCAAAAAGAGCAAGTATCTTGATCAATCGTGAATGAAAAATGGCTATAATTACCACTAAACTCATAAATCTTAATCAAGTATCTTGTCACTGATTTTCTTATATTTTTGTAGGAAAAAGGACGAGAAAGAGGCCCAATTAATAGCCAAGGAAAAACACAACTCTGAAGCCACCGCACTACTAGCGCGGCACTGGCGCTATCAACGCCAGAATCTTCCTCTCTTCACGCTATCAGCGCGAGACTCGTGCTAGTAGCGCGAAGCTACTGCCTCCAAACAACACTCCCACGCTATCAGCGCCAATCTGGCGCTCGTAGCGCGGGAGTTACGTGACAAATTTAAATCTTGTTTCAGACTGTATCAGGAAGAGATTGGAACCAAGAGATATGATGAAGATTTGATCAGGATTTCTAAACAAGGGAACAAAGTCTATAGAAATAGACTAAACACCTGGAGGAAATAATCTTTGGCTGAAGAGAATTGTGAGAATCAGAGACTTGAGAGAATTTTTGGAGACTAACGCTAGAGATCAAGATTCCGACGAAGTTGAAGACTGAAGATCATTGATTCTTCCGCTTCATCTTCTTCTTCTTTTATATTGTTATTATGAATTCTTTTAATTATTTTAATTGGTTAAAGCCAGATATGTCTGGCTAGTTTTCTTTTTGTAGTTGTGATCACAGATCCAATGTGAATCCTTTTTAATTTTTAAATTGTTTTTATAATTTATTTAGTTTTATTCTTCCTGTGTTAATTCTTTCATATCCTTTATAGAATTGATCACTCCATTATAGGGTTTTGAGGGTTAGAGCTCACAATAGGAATATTGGAGTTTTAATCTGGACTAGGATAGAATAACAATCTGTGTATGATCTAGACATAGACTTACATAGATTGCGGACTTTTAGATTCATTTGCTTAATGCTTAATTCAAGAGGAATTACTAGGACACTAGGATTTTAATTGGGTTAAAGGGTTGAAAACACTAAGACGGTGGGGTTAAACTATTTAATAGGGAAATAATGAATTGTTTGAGCTAATAAATTAGTTAGTTATAAAATTCAATTTAGGAATATAAAGGAGGATCGAAGGTAAAGTGCATCCTTACTGCAGTTCTTTTACAAATTCAATTATTCACATTTTCATTAACATTCTTGATATTTCTTGCATACGTTTGATTCTTATTGTCTTTAAATTTCTGTTAACAAATATTTTCACACTCAAACCGAGTTTTTCCAAACTAAGAGGAATAGTTAAATTAGTAATTGGTGCAATAATCCTCGAGGGAACGATCTTTACTTATCACTTTTATTACTTGAAACGAACGGTATACTTGCCGATTTCGCAACAAGTTTTTGGCGCCGTTGCCGGGGATTAATTACGCCAATATTAATTTTAACTTTCGATCTTTGAGATTTGAATTTTTATTTTTATTTTTTTTTGTTACTGATTTGATTTCTCTCTTTTATGCGAGGTAAAGTTAATCGAGACTGTTTACAGTTTGATCCATAAATCAAAAAGACTGCAAAGAAGAACAGGAAGCTAGCCAAGCTAAAGAAGCAAGAGGAATCCTCGAGTTCTGAGCCAAAAGCAGAACCCGAGATGGCAACTCCCAATCCACCACCAGAGGATAAATTGATGGAGTCAATCCTTGCTTCTCTTTTCACAAGACCAAATTCTAGCATCGTCGGACCACCAATTGTTGCCAACAATTATGCTATCCATCCATCACTGATATCCTTGGTGGAGAAAACTCTATTTGGTGGGGAAGATTACGAAGACCCCCATGATTTCATGGACAGATTTATAAGAATTTGTGATACAACCAAGCACCACGGGATATCAGATGAAGCAATTAGACTCAGGTTATTCCCTTTTGCTGTAACAAGGAAGACTCACAGATGGTTGGATAGACAGGCTCCCAACAGTATCAGAACATGGGATGAGTTGTCGGCCAAGTTCTTTGCTGAGCACGTTTCCATGGAGAAATACAATAAGTTGGTTAATGAAATTACCAACTTCACTCAACAGCCAGGAGAAACTCTATGTGCAGCTTGGACCAGATTCCAAGAACTGATCAGAAAGTGCCCCCAGTATGATTTGCCAGACGGGAAGAAAGTCAGGGTCTTTTACAATGGGATGACACCAGATTCCAGAATGGTTTTCAATGGTGCAGCTGCTGGAACCATAAGGAAGAAGACAACAACTCAAACTTTAGAGCTAATTGACTATATGACAAAGAATGAGAATGCATCTATGGCAGTTCAACCAAGAAAGGGACTTCTTCAATTGGGGAATAATGATGTTGTGTTAGCCGAACATAAGGTTATATCTCAACAGCTCGCCAGTATGAATGCTAAGTTGGACAAGATGCAAGTTTCTACAGCTCAAGTTAATTCAGTTAATTGTGAGTATTGCAAAGGAAAGCATGAGATCAATGAGTGCCCAAACACTTGTAGGATCTGAGCCATTTCAAGTTAATGGAGTTTGGTATGATCCAAGACCACCGTAGAACTTCCAGAGGAACAAGAACAACGCTCCAGGGAACAACTTTCAAAGGGGAGTTCAAGGGGGAGGTTTGGATTTCAAATCCAACAATTACTTACAACCTCCTCCTATTCCACATAAGGAGCCGTTTGGATTGGAGAAAGTGATGCTGCAGCTTTCTAAAACCACCAATGACCATATCCAGACCACTGATACTTTCATAAATGAGACAAGAGCCTATCATAAGAATCAAGATGCTTTTATCCGAAACTTGGAGAATCAGATAGGCCAATTGTCTAGGCAGCTTGTTGAGAGAAATCAAGGCCAATTTCAGAGTAACACCATAGTCAATCCGCGAGAAGACTGCAAGTCAATTGTTACAAGGAGCGGAATTGTGATTACTCCTCAAGAAAAGCCAAAGGTGGTTCAGAAAAAGAAAGCTGACGAACCAGTAATTGAACTAGAGCAAAAAAGAGAGGAGGAAACATCTGCAAGCGAGAAAGAAGAGCCTGCTAAAAAAGAAAAAGGAGAGGCAAAGGAGAAAGCTGTAGAGACTCCAAAGAAGCAATGAGATTTCTCTCGCTTTAAGAAACCACCATATCCCATAAAGTCAAAGCAGCAAGCTCAGAAGCAACAACATGTCAAGTTTTTAGAAATGTTTAAAAAGTTGCAAATAAATATTCCCTTTGCTGAAGCTTTAGCTTACATGCCTAACTATGCTAAGTTTATGAAAGATCTTTTGTCTAGAAAGCATAAATTACAGGAATTTGAAACTGTGGCTCTCACAGAGGAGTGCAGTGCCATTATTCAGAAGAAGTTACCACCGAAGCTTCGAGATCCAGGGAGTTTCAACATCCCGATTGCGATAGGCAACATTAATGTTGGCCGGGCATTGTGAGATCTTGGAGCAAGCATCAACCTCATGCCGCTATTAGTAATGAAGTATCTCAGAATTTCCAAGCTGAAGCCTACTATGGTGTCTCTCCAACTTGCTGACAGATCATTGAGAAGACCAAACAGAGTAATAGAAGACGTACTTGTCAAGGTGGACAAGTTCATCTTCCCTGCAGACTTCGTAGTGCTAGACATGGAAGAAGAAGGAAACATGCCCCTTTTGTTGGGCAGGTCGTTCCTTGCCACAGCCAGAGCCATGATAGAAGTGGAGAGAGGAAAGTTGGACTTGAGAATGGATGACGAAAAGGTCACCATTAATGTTTTCGATGTTATGAAGCATGCTGAGGATAATAACGACTGCTTCCGGGTGGACATTCTTGAAGAACTGTTCCTTGAAAAGAAAGATGATGATCAGACTCTTGAAGAAGAGACAAAATTCTTTGATGAGAACCCTCTAAAGGAAAATTCTGAAATTCCAATGGAGATGAAGAGACGTATCCTGTCATCATCAACAAAGAGACGTATCCTGTCATCATCAACAAAGAGCTGACTGATTCTGAAGAAACCAAGTTGATGAAAGTGCTCAAAGACCACTAAACAGCCATAGGGTGGTCCATCTCTGATCTAAAAGGAATCCTTCCTTCCTTCTGCACTCACAAAATACTTATGGAAGACAACATCAAACCTGTGAGGCAACCTCAGAGATGACTCAATCTTACCATGAAAGAGGTAGTTCGAAAGGAAGTAGTGAAACTCCTTGATGCCGGCATGATTTACCCAATCTCAGACACTGCATGGGTAAGTCCAGTTCAAACAGTGCCAAAGAAAGGTGGAGTTACAATGATCAAGAATGAGAACAATGAGCTGATTCCTACCAGAACCATAACTGGGTGGGGAATGTGTTTGGATTACAGAAGATTAAATGATGCCACACGAAAAGATCACTTTCCTCTTCCTTTTATTGATCAGATGCTGGAAAGACTGTCCGGACATGCTTATTACTGTTTCTTATACGGTTATTCTGGTTACAACCAGATACCTGTTGCACCAGAGGATCAAGAGAAGACAGATTCACTTGGCCCTTTGGAGTGTTTGCCTACAGAAGGATGTCGTTTGGCCTATGCAATGCACCTGCTACTTTTCAAATGTGCATGCTTTCCATCTTTTCTTATAAGATTGAAAAATCATTAGAGGTATTCATGGATGACTTTTTTATTTTTGGTTCTTGCTTTGATTCATGCTTAGTTAATCTATCTAAGGTGTTGAGACGTTGTCAAGAAATAAACCTGGTTTTAAATTGGAAAAAATGTCATTTCATGATGAAAAATGGGATAGTATTAGGTCATAAGATTTCTGAAAAAGGGATAGAAGTTGATAAAGCTAAACTTTTATTAATTGGGAGAAGATCAGAAGAGTTGCATGTTCCTTCCCTTTTTTTTGTCTCCTCAAAACCGTGAGTTGGGAGAAGAGAATCACCGCTTAAGCTTTCCCCTTCTCTTCTTCATTGATTCGGCCAAGTGCAGCAACCATGGAGTTAGTGCATCTCCTCTCCCTCCTTGGCTAGCCGAAGACACACATCCTAGGAGGTGAGGCGTGTTCTTCTCCTCATGCTCCAGCATAACTTTAAATCGATTCTGATTGGCCTCTTTCATCCTTGCATGCAGCCCAAAAATCCGCTTCCTTGAAGAGTGGAGAACGGAGGTTGCTGCCCCTATTGAGGTGCTAGCCTTCGATGCAGTAATGGAGGTAAACCAGAGTCCAAGAGTTCCTTTTCTTTCTCCTATTTGTTCGGCCTGCATATGTACCAAGGAAGATGTATTTCTTGGTCATTCCTCCTTATTATTTCTTTCGGCTGCTGCATATAGTTTAGGAGAAATATGCTTTGTCTTCTTATTTTCTGTTTCTGCCCCTTGGATCATCTTAGAACCTAAGGTCTGCAAGCACAAGAAAATCCGGTCTAGGAGCTTGGAAAATAGCTCCCTTTAATTTGTTGGACTGCACCTTGAATTAGAAAAAAATAAATTATGAAGCTTTGCATGCGTCAAATTGTGAAGACAGCCGCTAAAATGTATTTGTTCATGCCTAAGAATCGATTTTGGGGCTTGAAGAACAGCCCTCTTTATTGTGGGACTGTTTGTTGGAATAGAATAATGTAGATAGCCTTGTATGTGTTCAGAATTTTCTGGTCAGCATGCTTAAAACCAAGCTAGCGCACCCTTTGTCATGAGAGCCATGTGTTTAAATGGAAAATTTTAAGTCCCTAGTTGATTGCTCAAAATCGTACCTACATGTCTTAGAAACCTTGATTTTTTTTATCGTTTGCTAACGTTTGGAAAAATTAATATTGAGTCAGAAAATTATGTAGGTCGAGAACCATGAACCCCGTTTTGAATTAAACCTGCATGTGTTAAACCTGTATGAACAGCTTGCTAGAGACTTGTTCACTCACTTGTAAGCCTTGGAGAAAATGTTATGTAAATAAATTAACTGGTACACCTAGTTGCTGGCCAAACCGAACATACATGTGTAGGTCCTTGAAATTCCGTTGTTACTTCCTAGCAATTGGTAGGATAAGTTAAAGGCGGAAATATAATTAGCGTAGAAAGCATGGAACTTATTTGTAAAGCATAGGAGACATAGATGGAAATTCTGACTTGGTACCCGCTGTTTAGGTGCATATAATTCCAAGTGAGCGGACTGGATCCTTGATGATACACTTGATTAAAATAATTGGACACATCGAGGTAAGTGTTCGGTGGATTACCCCTTTGTGACTGTTAGTTTAATACTTGAATTTTCGATTTGTTGCTCTCGCGTCTTATTCTGATTCTGTTCGAAGGAAATGACAACTTGAATTGGATTATGAATTATTGGAAATTCTATTTGGGAAATATTCGTACTCTGAATTGAAATATGACTTGATGAAACTCCGATTTTTGTGGAGATATATTCTGATTAGAAGTTTGGTGTTATAGACATGTGAGCTATGATTTCTGATAATGAATTCTGATTATAAGCATGAACATCATAACTTTGCATTTGGTCATGTGTGTGTGAAGCAAAGCATAGCATATCATACATCCACATACATGCAGCCCTGATAACCGAAATAATTGATAAAATATAAGCATCTGGTTGAGCACGCGTCATATAGGCATCCCTCCGGTATCAGGGTATGGGATACTTGGCTTCAGTCCGCATAGGTCACAGTTGGAATTTGTAACACCCCGTATATATCTGATGTGCCTCTGACAAGTGTGATTTTCTGTGTTAAAATTGATAAGAATTGAGTCATAAAATAGCAACTTAAATACATATTTGCTAATTATATTGATTCTTTCTTTTCAATAATATTTCTCACCTATTGGTTTGTTTTTTTACAGGAAAAAGAAGTAAAAATTATAAAAAGCCTGTAGACGCGACTCCACACAGTGGCGCAAACTAGTGCCGTGTATCACAGTACAAAGTCCAGAAGAATGGCGCGGACCGGCACCACACTGGCGCGGACCCGCTCCAGTTTACGAACTCTGAAGCGGACAATTACAAGTGGCGCCTAGTGGCGCCAAAACCTTGAAGCAAAATGGCGCCACTTATGGAGCAAACTAGCGCCAAATCCAAGAGGAAATATATGGCGCCAACAGGCGCCCAAAGTGAAGGGAAAGTGGCGCCAAGTGGCGCCCACAAAGGTGAAGGATGGCGCCAGTTTACGTGCAATCAGGTCCGACTTTTCTGAATTGGACAGAAGCGTGGCGCGAACCGGCGCCAACTGGCGCCGGTTTGCGGAAAATTTGACCGTGCTGCGCGAATGGTAATTTTGGAAGACAGAAAAGAGGCTTATAAATAGGATCCTTATGAAAGAATTAGAGATTCAGACCTATTCTTCTGAAGAGAGACGACGGCGGTGCTCAGAGAAGATTCCTGGGATCAAGTTCTTCTTCTACCTTCTCTTTAATTTTATGCTTTCATTGAATATTGAATTTTTAGCCATGATTATGTTTGGCTAGTTTACTTTTTATTGTAGTAAGGGTCACAAACCCTATGTGAACCCTTGTTACACGGATTGATTTTATAATTGCTCGTTTATATAATTATCTTTATCTCTACCCTGTTCGTATTTTATATTTTCTTTATTAGAATTGATCACTCTAATAGTTGATAATAGTCTGAGGGTTAGAACCCTAGATAGGAATATTGGGGTTTTCATCCTGAAAGGGGGTAGGATAACGGTTCGTATGCATGCTAGGAATAGATGTGTATTGAATTACGGATGCCTAAATTATTGAGTTCATCGCTTAATTTTCATGAGGGGTTGCTAAGGGATTAGGATTCCAATTGAGATTAAAGGGTTAAATTGCCAAGGGATTGAGATTTAACTAATTATTTTAGATAATAATTTATCCGAGTAATTTTATAAATGAATATTGTAAATCAATCCAAAGTAATAAGTGGGGATCATAAGGTGAGTGCGCTCTAGCTACAATGTTTTTCTCATTTTTATAAATCAAAACTCATTTTCTTGTTCTTATTTTTATTCTTCATTACAGAAAAATTATAAAAACAAGTGTTTATTTTTCAGTTCTCAATTTCACAAAACTCGACAATATTTTTTTTTTTTTGTAATAAAATTCGACAATATTTGTCACAACCTTTGAACTCTTCCATTCGTAAAAGGAACAATTAATTGATATTCGACCCAATCCCTGTGGAGACGATACTTTACTTACTATTATATTACTTGTGCGATCGGTATACTTGCCGGAGAGCATCAAGTTTTTGGCGCCGTTGCCGGGGATTGGCGTTTCTGATATCAATTAATTTTGATTTTTAAGATTGGAATTTTTATTTTTATTTATATCTTTGATTTCTTTGTGATTCTTGAACAGTGCTACTAATATCTTTTCGAAGTTGTATGCGAGGTAAAGAGCCAGAATTTTCACTTGATTTGGAGATTACAGAAATAGAAAATTTGCTCGGAAGAAGCTTGCTTTCAACGAGCTAGAAAATCTGTTTGAAGAAGCACACAAGATGGCAGAGAACAATGAAGAAGACAATCCGCTCATGGATACCATTCTGACTCCATCGTTCAACAGGCCCAATTCGGGTATTGTGCAGCCAAATGTTGTCAACAATTGGGAGCTCAAGTCTTCCCATATTAATTTGGTGGAGAGAGCTCAGTTTGGAGGAGAGGATAGTGAAGATCCTCACAGGTTTATTGACAAATTCTTGATGATCTGTGATTCCACGAAACATCCTCAGGTGTCTCATGATGCAATCCGATTGAGGCCGTTCCCTTTTTCTCTTAAGGGAAAAGCTCTTAGTTGGTTGGAAAGGCAGCCTGCAGCAAGCATCCCAACCTGGGATGATTTATCACAGAAGTTCTTTGCTCAGTTCTTCTCGATGGAGAAGTACAACAGGATGGTGAATGATATCACCAAATTCACTCAATCTGAGGGTGAATCAATGTGTGAAGCATGGAACCGGTTCAAAGATTTGATGAGAAGGTGTCCTCAGTATAACCTGACTGCTGGTAATCATGTTAGAATCTTCTTCAATGGTACCAAACCTGAGGTTCGGATGGTGTTGAATGGTGCAGCAGGAGGCACTATTAAAACTCCGAGAGCAAACGAGACTCTTGAGCTGATTGAGAGGATGGCTGCCAACGAAAACCAAGGGTTGTCAGCAAAGCCTAAGAGAGGTATCCTTCAACTGGAAGGTAATGATGTTGTGCTGGCTTAAAACAATTTGTTATCTCAGCAGATAGCAAACTTGACCTCAAGGCTTGACAAGATGCAGATTGCTGGTGTTCAGGCTCAAACTGTTGCTGCTGTATGAGAATATTGACAGGGCAACCATGAATCTAATGAATGTTCTTCTCTGCTGGCTTCAGATTCACCTCAACAAATTCAAGTGAATGGCATTTGGTACGATCAGAGACCTCCACCACAAAATATTCTGAGGAATCAGAATTTTCCTTCTGGGAGCAATAATTTTCAGAGGAGGGTGCAAGGAACTGGTCTTGATTACCAATCAAATAACTACTTGCAGCCTCCACCAATCCAACCCAAGGAACCTTCTGATTTGGAGAGGTTAGTTGGACAAATGGCTCAACACTCTAGTGCTTTCATGGAGGAGACAAGGGCCAATACCAAGAACACACAGGCTTCTATCAGAAATTTGGAGTATCAAATTGGTCAACTGGCAAAACAAATGGCTGATAGAACTCCAGGTACCTTCCCTAGTAACACAGTCACTAATCCGAGGGAAGATTGTATGGCCATCACAATTAGAAGTGGAAAAATACTTCCATCTCCTGAGGTTATAGAAAAACTAGACACTGCAGGTGAGCCAGAAAAAGAAAAAGAAATTGAAAAACCTACTGAAGTGGTGAAGCCAGTGGAAAAGAAGAAGCATGAATTGAGTCCCGAATATGTGAGGGCTATGGCACCGTATCCTGAAAGATTCAAACAGGACATTCAGAAGAAGCATTATGAAAGGTTCTTGGATATTTTCAAAAAGCTTCATGTTAATATTTCATTTGCTGAAGCTTTGGTCAATATGCCAAATTATGCTACATTCATGAAGGATCTTTTATCAAGGAAGCACAAGTTACAAGAGTGCCAAACTGTAGCACTTACTGAGGAGTGCAGTGCTATCATTACAAGGAAATGTCCTCCTAAGCTTCGTGATCCTGGAAGCTTCAACATTCCTATTGAAATCGGTAACACAAAAATCCGCAGGGCATTATGTGATCTTGGGGCTAGCATTAATTTGATGCTTCTTTCTGTTTGCAAATCCTTAGGGATCACAGAACTAAAACCCACTATGGTTTCTCTTCAACTTGCTGATAGATCTTTAAGGAAGCCTAGTGGAATAATTGAAGATGTTCTTGTGAAGGTGGACAAGTTCATCTTCCCTGCTGATTTTGTGGTGCTGGACATGGAAGGGGGAGCTGAGATGCCTCTTTTGCTGGGTAGACCGTTCTTAGCTACATCTCGTACCATGATTGACGTTGAGAATGGGAAGCTAGAGTTAAGGATGAATGATGAGTCCATTACCATCAATGTCTTTGACTCTATGAAACAATCTTCTCGCAAAGGCGATTGTTTTAGACTCGAGCAAGTGGGGAAGGAAGAAAAATCTTCTAGTCAAGAGCTTGATAAAGAACTTGAGGCTCGTAAGATTGTTCCTGCTAAGAGAAAAAAGAATGTAGTGTTTGAAGTTCTTAAGAAAACAAATGAAGACAAAGAAGATGGTGCCCCAAAAATAAAGTTGAAAGAGATTCCTGAAACTCTGAAACATACCTTCTTGGGTAATAAGGAGGCAGTGATTGAAGTACTGAAGGAACATGAGACTGCCATAGGGTGGTCTACTTCAGATTTGAAAGATAAAGATCCCTCTTCCCGTACCCACAAAATTCTCAATGAAAATGATGACAAACATGGGAGAAAACCCCAAGGGAGGGGTCATCCTATACGGAAGAAGGTACTGAGAAAGGAAGTGGTGAAACTCTTTGATACGAGTTGGAAGAGACACCGAGAGCTGAAGTTTGACAAGAGACACCGAGACTCTATCTCTCGGAAAAATCAAAGCTTCAAAGAGTTCTTAACATGGCTTCATAGTTTGGAACAAATCTGGGAATGGTGGTCTCATACACCAAAGCATCCAGTACCACTGGATCTTCCATTTGCTGAGTCATCCCACGCTGCTGAGGGGGATGACATGGATGATTGATATCTCCTTGCTGACGGAGATTTTGTATATTAGTTTATTTTTCAGTTTCGTATTTTTAGTTGTTTTGTGTTGGTATATCTTTTTCTGATGTTTTAATGTGCGCATTATAGTTATCCTATATGCCACTGTTTGTTCCATTGTGCAGGTTTTTCTTCTTTCTTGTGGTTTAATTATTGCTGAGGACAACAATTCTCTAAATCTGAGAATGGTAGGCTTGCATCTTAGAACTGCTGCAATTCTTCTATCAGGGGAGATATTCTAACTCTTTTAATTTTCGTAGTTATTTTTGTAGTATTTTGTGTGCTCTTTATTTTTATCTAAAAAAAAATAAATTGGAAAATGTTTTCTGAGCAAGTCCCAGGTTTAAATGTGCTTATCTAGTTAATGTGCTTGACTGAATTCTTGGCATCATGTTTTGTATGAACTTCTGGCATGGTATTGTATGGGCATGAGTAGACTTCATGATTGCTCGTTTGTCTGAATTTTGTGATTGAATGATTAATGATGCCTGATGTTTTTTTTGGAAGTCTAGCTTGACATCATAGCTGGTGAGGTTTTGTGCTTAAACACTTATTTTATTCTGAGAGACCTCACTGTGATAGCATTCTAGAACTTGTTCTGTTTCTCTGTTATGCATGCATTGGTTGATATGATAAAGGCATTTTGTTCTTGTTAGCTATTGGCCAAAAATAACCCACATGTATGAATTTTTCCATTGCTAAACCCTTTGAGCCTGAGCCTTTTTGTTCATAATTCCTGCTGATTGCTTAGCTTATTTCCAAGTGACTTACCTTAATTGAGATTAAATTACTGATGTGTTGAAAAATAAAATAAAGAAATTGAGGTAAGCTCCACAAAGCTCAAGTAATTAGGGGAGGAAAAATTTCATCTGTGCCCTTAAAACAAAGGGAGAAAAAGAAAATGAAAAAGAAAAGCAAGAAAAAGAAAAAGGGTGAATGTAAAGAAAAAGTGGCTGAAATGAATTAATTCCCGAAATTTTGTGGGAATATTAGTGGAGCAAAAATCATTGAGTTGAATGTGTTAAAAATAAAATAATATCAGTTTGTCAATCTCATTGTTGTTTGAGCTACTTTCCATATATTCCTACCCATTAACCAGGCCAAGTTACAACCTGTGAAGTCCTTTTGATCAATTGATGCATGTGTTTGATTCTTCATTTTTAAGAATTTTTGAGAATATAATCAAGCATATGGTAATGTTATTGATGTGATGGATTGAGTGATTGTTACTCCCTCAAACACTTGAGTGCTGAGCGTTATATGTTTTGTCTTGGAGAGGGGTGTTCAAGCTAGATTCTGACATTTTTATGAAAATATAAGGCATTGTTAGGAGTTCTTTGCATTGATTCAGTCATGCTTAGCATAGTGATCTCTTGATTGTTTGTGTGATGTTGTGTTGGAATAATTGATTGTTTCCTGGATTGAGTCTTGTACATTGCTGGGGACAACAACGTTTAAATCTAGGAATGGTTTGATGTGCCTCTGGCAAGTGTGATTTTTTGTGTTAAAATTGATAAGAATTGAGTCATAAAGAGCAACTTAAATACATATTTGCTAATTATATTGATTCTTTCTTTTCAATAATATTTCTCACCTATTTGTTGTGTTTTTACAGGAAAAAAGAAGTAAAAATTATAAAAAGCTTGTAGACGCGACTCCACATAGTGGCACAAACTAGCGCCGTGTATCATAGTACAAAGTCCAGAAGAATGGCGCGGACCGGCACCACACTGGCGCGGACCCGCACCACTTTACGAACTATGAAGCAGACAATTGCAAATGGCGCCTAGTGGCGCCAACTGGCGCCAAAACCTTGAAGCAAAATGGCGCCACTTATGGAGCAAACTAGCGCCAAATCCAAGAGGAAATATATGGCGCCAACAGGCGCCCAAAGTGAAGGGAAAGTGGCGCCCAAAAAGGTGAAGAATGGCGCCAACTGGCGCCAGTTTATGTGCAATCAGGTCCGACTTTTCTGAAATGGACAGAAGCGTGGCGCGGACCGGCGCCACACCAGCGCCAACTAGCGCCGGTTTGCGGAAAATTTGACCGTGCTGCGCGAAGGGTAATTTTGGAAGACAGAAAAGAGGCTTATAAATAGGATCCTTATGACAGAATTAAGGATTCAGACCTATTCTTCTGAAGAGAGATGACGGCGGTGCTCAGAGAGGATTCCTGGGATCAAGTTCTTCTTCTACCTTCTCTTTAATTTTATGCTTTCATTGAATATTGGATTTTTAGCCATGATTATGTTTGGCTAGTTTACTTTTTATTGTAGTTAGGGTCACAATCCCTATGTGAACCCTTGTTACGCAGATTGATTTATAATTGCTCGTTTATATAATTATCTTTATCTCTACCCTGTTCGTATTTTATATTTTCTTTATTAGAATTGATCACTCTAATAGTTGATAATAGTCTGAGGGTTAGAACCCTAGATAGGAATATTGGGGTTTTCATCCTGAAAGGAGATAGGATAACGGTTCGTATGCATGCTAGGAATAGATGTGTATTGAATTGCGGATGCCTAAATTATTGAGTTCATCGCTTAATTTTCATGAGGGGTTGCTAAGGGATTAGGATTCCAATTGAGATTAAAGGGTTAAATTGCCAAGGGATTGAGATTTAACTAATTATTTTAGATAATAATTTATCTGAGTAATTTTATAAATGAATATTGTAAATCAATCCAAAGTAATAAGTGGGGATCATAAGGTGAGTGCGCTCTAGCTACAATGTTTTTATCATTTTTATAAATCAAAACTCATTTT